AAAAATTTACATTACATATTAATCTGACAAATTTCTTCTATAAAGTTATTAAAGATTTTAAATTCGACACATAGGCACCTCCATACATAGAAATTCCATATTCGAGCTTAGAATTGATTAAAGAGTGGTAAACCTGTTTTAAGATGGGAGAGGACAGCAATATTTGAGGTGGAAAAAAGATCTAAGTGAGTAACGTAATGAATTCTTTCTGGGGATAAAGAAAAATTAATCTTTATAATTAATACGCTACATGAAACTTTGTCGGTTGAACTCCTCTGCCATTTCTTAACCGATTTTATCCATTGACGTCTCATTGGAATGAGCGTGTCGTGTAGATTTGCAAACTGACCTTACATTTTTTTAAAGTCCCTTGGTCTCTGCCCCAGTGGCTGTTAAAGTTCCCATGTTATCCTTATGAAGAACATAATTTACATAGTTTACATTTTGATCAGCTGTATAATTTAATTGCTGTTATTTATTTTTCAATTTAACGAAACACAGTGAGTACATTTACTGATTTTTTTGAAATTAAATATTTACTATTTTAATTTACATTCGTACATATTACAATGTAAAAAATCTAGAAAGTCTAGGAATTTGATATATTTTACCAAATAAGAAAAATGAATTGACATAGTACTGTATTTCTTGAGAAATCATTGAAAGAACCGATTTGATAACTATGGAAACATAGCAAAGTCATAGAACACCACCAAGTAGAAGAAATAGAAATTTTAAAAAAATCACATCCTTATCAACCTGATGAACACCTACAGCTAAAATATGACGATTCCCACAAACAATGAACAAGGATGTTGGCCGAAGTGCTACTATTCTGTAGGAGACATGGTCTTAATTTTATGATGATTGGCAAAGGAAACCCCTCTAGTAGGAAAATATTTTTTGTTTTATTGATTACGTTCTGTAAAAACCTTGAATCAAAATAAAGTGTGTACAAGGTTGTGAAAACTGGGCCATGGTCTGGTTAAATGGTTCTGATAAACTACTAGGAGAATCATCAGAGAAAGTATTACATAATTAACTCTGAGGAAATAACGTTAATCAGCTATTTTTTCACATTGCTTGAAAATGCATTCTAAATCATTTCTGATACCCTACACTAACACTATAGAATATTTGGCTTAGTATTAAATACAACAACGGGGATCACACGCAAATTCAATAGAGTTAAAAACTTGTTTTGAGGCAAAAGAAATAATACAATCAGCTACCCTTTTATGTTTTAAATATTATGTTTCTTTTAGACTTATGTTATCTTCTTTTAGTTATAATTTGCTGGATAAAAATAATAATAATTTACAATAAATTAAATTGTTTATATAGATCTGTACTATTTACTAATGAGTGATTTACCTACCTCAACCAGGTTACATTTATTACTAAGAGTAGTCTAGAGGTCTCGGCTATTTGCAAGAACTGTTTCCTGTCTTCAACTTTCTATCTTTTACTGTCTGACTGTGGTTGAACATTTAACTGAAGCATCAGCGCTGTTATTAAATGACAACAATTTACATTTAAAACAGTTATAAAGGAAGTTGGTCAACATCACTGGATCTTTGAATGTGAAATCTAGTAAAATCAAGTTATAAGGGCAAAGCCAAAGCCCTAAATGAAATTACTATTTTAAATACCATTCGTCCCTCCGCTAAATGATGAGCTTTAAAATGACACCTGAGTGGTAAATTGTTCAAGTAGGATGGCCAAAAGAGGGATGTTATAGAAAATCCTTATCAAATTAAGTATATAGATTTGATTTGATATCAATCAAAAGATCTTTATTCAAATGTATTCCTACAATCAACATGATCGGTAGGACATTATTGATCACACTACTCCAGGTTGCTGTTTTCTGAATTTTAAGATCTATTATTTGTTCTAAAGTTAAAAAAAGTCATCAAATGAATAAAGTGCCCTCTGTATCAAAAATACTTTCAATTTCACTTTGAAACCTCTATCATCCTGCATGCTTCTTATGTGATCTGGTATGTGATTTAGGAATCTAATACAGTTGTATGAAGTTTTTCTTTTAAACAATTCTAATTCATGATTTGGTAATACTACTTTATTTTTATTCCTAGTATTATAAGCTGTAAATATCTTTAAAAAAATAATAAAACTATTTATATTATCTTTTAAAAACATTATGCATTCTAAAATGTATAAGCTGTAAACATTCAAAATTTCAAATTTGGCAAATTAAGTTTTAACAGATTCAGTTCTTAAAGTTTAATATGGCCCTTAATGCTCTTTGCTGTCCTATTAGTATCTTTGTTAAATTTTGAGCGGATGTTCCTCCGTAGACACAGACCCATAAGGAACATGGGATTGGACGCAAAATAAACACTACATTCGTTTTGAAGTGATAATATAATCTTCTGATGGCGTAGATTCCTGAGTTAATTTTATTTAAAACATTTTCCCATTCTTTGAAACATTATCGATACTTGTCTGCAATAAGAAAAAAAGATTGTTGAGAATTTTATGCAACATATTATTGCTGTATTAAGAGGTGCCTATTCCCTAACTTACAAGGCCAGAGGCGCAAACCCAATTTCATACTGCTCATTTTTTCATCCCCCTGCCACCTTCCCACACCAACACAAAAATTTCAAGGGTTTTCTAAAATAAAGAATTATACAAACACCAGCTAAGTCAATTCAAAATGTTAATAAGGAACATTCATTTCCCAAATGAAAAAATCACATCAAAATAGTCACAATATTTATTTTGAAATGGTGAGTTGGCTATCTATAATTGATAGGCAAGCATATTTCTTTAAAACTTCTTTTCTCACCTCGTGTATCGCAGGGAAATCTATGCATACTGTTAGAAAGATATTTACCTGTAGATGTGCAGAAAATCCCTTTATAAATTAAAATAAGCGAAAAAAAATTAATTTACAATTTACAAAAATTAACTAGGGTCTTATGGGTTGCCATGCTGATTATGAAATAACAATCTATAAAGGCAAAGCCCTCACTGACTGACTGACTGACTGACTCACTCACTCATCACTAATTCTCCCACTTCCCATTTACCTAGGAGGCTGAAATTTGGTACACTGATTCTTTAGGCATTAAATAGGAAAACTAAGTAGTTTTTATTCTGATCGGACTCTCGGGCTCCGCCCCAGTGGCTCTGGAGTTTCCCATGTTAACCTTATGAGTACTCATATTTAAATGGAATTAATGAATCTTAACAGCTGTTTCAATTAAACAAGTTGGTTCTGTTCTATGATGTGCAATAGCATTAAAGTTACGAGGGTTACCAACAGGGTGCAGCACTATTATTTTGTTTTATTTATGACAGCTAATTTGCAACCAAAAGGTGAGTGAGCGTAGCGAACGAACTTCAACCTGGAGGCGAGTTAGCGTAGCGAACGAGCTAACCTGAAGGCAAGTGAGCGCAGCGAACGAGCTCCAACCTAAAAGTGAGTGAGCGTAGCGAACGAACTTCAACCAGGACGTGATTGAACCATGCGAACGAGCTTATCTTGAAAATTAAGAAGTTAAACGGGGCAAAGCCCGCGGGTACAGCTAGTGAAATATAAACAGAAAATCTAAACAAATGGAATAAATTTCAATCACATGTTTTATTTGCAGTGTGGGGTGAAAATAGAGAAGTTTGCACAATACATATTTTTGGTTGAGTTTTCGACCACGAGGCGACCATTAGTGCTTGTTAAAGGGAATTCGGGAAGGTCTCTTCACCCAACCCAGTAAAGATTTAATAACCATGAAACTGACAAACGCAAGACTCACACAGCCACTACAGGAAAGACAGCCACTACAGGAGAAGATGAAACAACTATTCCTCTCCCTGCATCCTCTGCCAGCAATCTTAATGTCCTTGTAACAATAGCGACGAATAAATATGAATTTGAAAGGATGGTGTTTTGGGTCCTCTAGGGATATAAAACGAAAAAGTAAATCAATCGGTACCAGGTCTAGTTTTTACCACGACACCTATAGTAATAGCATAGATAAAAACCCCTTAGTAGATTTCTCATCCTTATGAAACAGCTGGAGCCAATTTTATTGTTGGTTCTGTCCGGTGCACTGTCGAGGTCGTATTTTGTTTACAATTTGTTTCTTGTTATTTCTGCCATTTAAAAACTCGTTTAACCAAATAAAACTAAATAGTCATAAACAATAACTCGTAGGTACCCTAGTTATATAACCAAACAGTAAAGAACAAATCATGAAATTAACCCTAAAATAATAGAAACAAAATTTTGTCAGCACTGACATCCAGTGCCACTGGACATGAAATAGACACGATAAACAAGCTTCAAAATTTACAATAGGATGAGAAGTCTACTTGTGGTTGGCTAGTCTATGGTAATAGCTGATTCTCTACACAGTAAATTATCTAAAAATTATGTATATATAATATATCTTTAAAAAAATTAATATGTTGTACTTATTACATTTGAAAATATAACTTTGGCTGCAATTTAACAGTGCTTTTTACAGTATAAGTAGTATGGCATTGTTTAAAATTTTAAATTGTTGTCAATCAAAACAAACTTAACCATCAACACTGAAACACACTGTACACAGTGATGTCGAAGCACATTTTAAACCAACCTCCAGTGATAATTTCCAAGAGCTTGTCACTGCATACAGTAGACATTTCAATTGTACAATTTAAAAATAGCTTTATTACCTAAATGAGAAATTCGCTAAAAACAAAAAAAAATCAAGCTGTGTGCCCTAATTTACTTTATAATTTTTAAATATTATAGTGAAGGTGCATTTCAAAATACTTATAACCCTTTCAAAAACCATTTCATAATTAAACTTTTTGTTCTTTAAAACATGTTATATACAACCGAAGAAAATTCCCCTAAAAACAAAACTGCACAGAATCAGTCAACAACTCAATAAATGCATTCTGAAAATATAGATAACATATTGAGAATCAGACGCGATATTGTTTTCCCCAACTGTTGATAACCGAGGTTAAAAGAGCAAAGCAGTGGACGAGACGGGCAGTTGATTGGTGTAAATCGCTTGGCTACAACGCAGTCCAGGTTCACCCTAACTTCCTTTGAGGCGCAGACTACTCGTACTCGACACCGACTGCATCACTTTGACGGGTAATCATTTTACTTGATTTAGTTATTATTATAATCTTATAGATAAAATGGAAGAATTACCTTATCCAACCACAGTTGCTAGTATGACAACTAGTTTCGTTCCTTAGAACATCGTCAGGTCATTGTATGCAACCACATCTTCAATGTATGTATGTACATTGTGGTATGTCAAAAGATTCTTTAAAAACACTGTCAGAATCACAATAGTAAAAACTAGTTATGTTGATCAAACTATTAAAATTGAATAAAAAGTGATAAAACTGGTTAAAACTGTAAAGGCTGGCCAGCACTCTCTTTATCACTGTCACTGACTAAATAAAACCAGTTTTATTTAGTCAGTGACAGTGATAAAGAGAGTGCTGGCCAACCTCTACAGTTTTAACCAGTTTTATCACTTTTTATTCAATTTTAATAGTTTGATCAACATAACTAGTTTTTACTATTGTGATTCTGACAGTGTTTTTAAAGAATCTTTTGACATACCACAATGTACATACATACATTGAAGATGTGGTTGCATACAATGACCTGACGATGTTCTAAGGAACGAAACTAGTTGTCATACTAGCAACTGTGGTTGGATAAGGTAATTCTTCCATTTTATCAATTATATTTCCAACCAAGGGTAACAATGAATAACATATAATCTTATAGTTTTTACTACGGTACAGGGAAAGTTCTCACATAAGACAACAATATTTTTTTGTTTTCTGGATAAGATCTACAGCTCAAGATGTGCTCTGAATTATCCGTTCACAGTGTTTTACGTAGCTTAGTTAAAACTATTGGTTAACAGCTGGATTTGTTAACCCTGGCTTCAAGAAAAGAAGTTTCACGCTCTAACCTTTTGTTTTGAAATTTTATAGTTTGTGCCAAGAACAATTATTTAAGATACTCTGGGGACTACTGTTTATGTCAAATATATTTTCACATTAAATAAGAATACCCCCGCCACAGCAAACCTGTAGACTAAGCAAATTTCCATTTGGCAGATTGGGTTTACACTAAAATATCTCCTTCAAAATATCACATTTATTCCCTATTTAAATAGCATTAGTTTAACGAGTACTTACTTTTTCTGCAACAGGAAGGTCAAAAAAGTGTTTTTGTAAACATTGATATTTTGTAAAATGTTAATAGTTTAGTATGAAATAAATTTATTTTCCAAATTTGATCAAAAATGTTCATAAACAAGAAAAACAGTTAACTTATTCTACATAGAATAACATGGGAATTTTAAATTTTTTTGGAATTTTATCCGTATAATTTTGTATTAGGCGCATAACAACGCTTTGATTTACTTAAAAATAATTTGTTTTTTTGAGCTCTACAAAATGGTTTGGAAAGACATTGCAAAATGTTATGTTTTCATGGTCAAAAAAATGAAAAACCAATTTATACCCCATTAAACCTTCCATAAACCCCCGTTCCCATAGTCCGATCATGGTGGTTCGCAAACTTGTTTGAATAAATGTATATATAGGTTTACACATTAATACCAAATTTCATCAAAATTGGATCATTTTTGCTCGAGTTATCGTGCTAACGAACATATTTAGGTATATATATGAATTTGAACGGATGGTGTTTTTGGCCTAGGAACCTTAAAACGGAAAAGTAAATCGGTCCCTGGTCCAGGTCTTACCATGAGTACTATGGTAATAGCTTATTCCCTATATGGGAAATTCACTAAAAAAAGTGTTTGATATTATCAACATCAACAATATAAAGGTTTTATCATCCATGAAACTGTATGTGAAGATAAAGAACTTAGGGTTGATCTTAAATTACGATAAATTAGTGGCGGTCCCTGGATTTCATTTTGGGGGGTATGACCACCGGGACATGGGGGTATGGAATATCCCCCAAAAAAAGGGGGTCCAAGGGCCCCCCTGTAAAATTTTTTGAATTTAATGATTAAAAACATATTTTTATATGTATTTCAGCTCTAAAATATGCTCAAGCTAATAGTATTTATGTTATCTAATAAAATATAAAATAGTTCGGGAGGTATGTATCCCTCCCATCCCCCCCTGGGACCGCCACTGGATAAAATTATGTTAATTTAGTTGTTTTACTAATTATACAAATATTTCGCTCTTAAGACCGACTGTACTGCAATCCAAATAAATAAGGCTGAATATAAAAATTTAGGACGAGGGAAGCAGCATTAACTAAAAAAAAGTACCCCCACTGCAGCAAACCTGCAGACTAAGCGAATTTCCATTCATGAGTACTTAAGTTTACTGCTACAGGGAAGGTAATGAGATGTTTTTGGTATGAAATAAACAAAATTGCCAAATTTGATTAAAATATATTTATAAACAAGCAAACTATAGTTCGGCCGCATAGAAAACGACCTGCGTGCTAATGCTAAACCAATGCTAGAGGAGGTCGCTTTCTAAGCGGTCGAACTAAACAACAGTTGATTTATTCTCCATAAGAATAACATGGGAATTAATTTTTTTTAATTATCTCCGTAACTGTTAAGCATAAAACAATGCTTAAATATACTAAATTGATTATTTATGCAAGCTCTACAAAATGGTTTGGACAGAAATTGAGAAATTTGATGTTTTCAGGGTAAAAATGGGAAAAACAATTTTTTTACCCCATAAAACCCCCGTTCCCATAGTCGGACCCATACTCGTTCAAATAAATGTAGGTTTTACATGTTTGGACCAAATTTCATCAAAATCAGATCATTTTTGCTCTAGTTATCACGCTAACGGACATATATATATATATGAATTTGAACAGATGGAGTTTTTGACCTCTGGGAACCTCAAAACAAAAAAGTAGCCTAAATCGGTCCCAGGTGTAGATCTTACCATGAGACCTACAGTAATAACGTATTCCCTATATGGGAAATTTGCTAACATTAGGTATAGCTATATGGGAAATTCGCTAAAATGAAAGACCAAAGAATTAATTAACTAATTTTAAGAAGCCTCAGATTAGAGTGTAATCATCGTTAAAACAAGAAAAATTTAACTTTGGATAGGTACAGAACTATTTATATAAAAAAATATTTATATTGTTAATCCCGAGTATTTTTGTGTTGTGTTTTTACTTTAAACTAAGTTTTGAAATAACAGTCAATTTATGTGCTTTTAAAAATACTTTTTTACATTTTCATAATTACTTCGGCTTAATGTTGTTTAAACAAACTGTGTGTTATAATATGACCAATAGTATGCTTTAAATTGGAAAGAGGAAGAGTGTTAGGTAATGTTTTGGGAGTAATCAAGTATAAAACCGTTAACTTGATAAAACTATACAATTGGCTGTTCCATTAATTAGGTTGGAGATGGTTACAAAATTATCTTCTTCGGTTGTCCCGGGCCTAATTCTTACTATGTGAGTCATTCCAAAAGCAAACCTTTCCAAAAGGAATATGCTAAACAAACACTGATATGTGTTTAACTAAAAATCCTATAGTAATTACTAATTTTATTCAAAAGTAAATATAGTACCTAACATAAAAATAAATGCAGACATATGGAAGACTATATGATCTAAACAATATTTGATGTTTACAGGCAGAAATGGCTTTGAAGATAGTCTGCATCATTGCTCTGATGATACAAACTGTGGTTGGACACCCCCACGTCAGGAGGCAGCGTCAAATGCCAGACAACCCTCCTATGTGGGCACATCAACATCACGGTCATTACCGACATGAATACCATCAATATCATCAACCACACAACTCCCTGCCTCAACAACAAGAGCATTTCCATCACCACCACCCCCACCCGCATCATCACCCTCACCACCTACACCTTGATCCTCATAACCACCACAGACACCAACAGCATCAACAATACTACTACCCTGTGCCAGTAGCTCCACTCACAAACCAGCATGTCACACGAACAAATAACTATGACAAAGAACAAGGATACATACGTGAGGAAAACCATGAGTTCATGCAACAGTTTCAACCAAATATCTATGAAAATCAGCAGTCAGGCCTTTTTACAGACCAACAAAACTCAGAGGCCTTCAATCAACAGGATCAACATAACTATGTACCACAAGGGCAGCAACTGGTAAATGAAAACACTCAATATGAAGACACCCAACAAACAGAAGACACACAGCAAACTAAGGATTTTGGACAACAAACCGATTTTGAATTTGGAGCACAACAATCTCAACAAGAAGTTCAGAAACCTGAAAAGTTCACAGACACACAGCAAACTGAGGATTTTGGACAACAAACCGATTTTGAATTTGGAGCACAACAATCTCAACAAGAAGTTCAGAAACCTGAAAAGCTCACAGACACACAGCAAACTGAGGATTTTGGACAACAAACCGATCTTGAATTTGGAGCACAACAATCTCAACAAGAAGTTCAGAAACCTGAAAAGCTCACAGACACACAGCAAACTGAGGATTTTGGACAACAAACCGATCTTGAATTTGGAGCACAACAATCTCAACAAGAAGTTCAGAAACCTGAAAAGTTCACAGACACACAGCAAACTGAGGATTTTGGACAACAAACCGATCTAGTATTTGGAGCACAACAATCTCAACAAGAAGTTCAGAAACCTGAAAAGTTCACAGACACACAGCAAACTGAGGATTTTGGACAACAAACCGATCTAGTATTTGGAGCACAACAATCTCAACAAGAAGTTCAGAAACCTGAAAAGCTCACAGACACACAGCAAACTGAGGATTTTGGACAACAAACCGATCTTGAATTTGGAGCACAACAATCTCAACAAGAAGTTCAGAAACCTGAAAAGCTCACAGACACGCAACAAACTGAGGATTTTGGACAGCAAAACGATTTTGAATTTGGAGCACAACAATCTCAACAAGAAGTTCAGAAACCTGAAAAGTTCACAGACACACAGCAAACTGAGGATTTTGGACAGCAAACCGATCTTGAATTTGGAGCTCATCAATCTCAACAAGAAGTTCAGAAACCTGAAAAGTTCACAGACACACAGCAAACTGAGGATTTTGGACAACAAACCGATCTTGAATTTGGAGCTCAACAATCTCAACAAGAAGTTCAGAAACCTGAAAAGCTCACAGACACACAGCAAACTGAGGATTTTGGACAGCAAACCGATCTTGAATTTGGAGCTCATCAATCTCAACAAGAAGTTCAGAAACCTGAAAAGTTCACAGACACACAGCAAACTGAGGATTTTGGACAACAAACCGATCTTGAATTTGGAGCACAACAATCTCAACAAGAAGTTCAGAAACCTGAAAAGTTCACAGACACACAGCAAACTGAGGATTTTGGACAACAAACCGATCTTGAATTTGGAGCACAACAATCTCAACAAGAAGTTCAGAAACCTGAAAAGTTCACAGACACACAGCAAACGGAGGATTTTGGACAACAAACCGATCTAGTATTTGGAGCACAACAATCTCAACAAGAAGTTCAGAAACCTGAAAAGTTCACAGACACACAGCAAACTGAGGATTTTGGACAACAAACCGATCTTGAATTTGGAGCTCAACAATCTCAACAAGAAGTTCAGAAACCTGAAAAGCTCACAGACACACAGCAAACTGAGGATTTTGGACAGCAAACAGATCTAGAATTTGGAGCACAACAATCTCAACAAGAAGTTCAGAAACCTGAAAAGTTCACAGACACACAGCAAACTGAGGATTTTGGACAGCAAACCGATCTAGTATTTGGAGCCCAACAATCTCAACAAGAAGTTAAGAAACCTATAAAGTTCACAAACACACAGCAAACTGAGGATTTTGGACAACAAACCGATCTAGAATTTGGTTCACAACAGTCTTACAATACATTCCATAAGCTCGGCAAGAAAATAGACACACAGGAAACACATCACAATAATCCTTATGAGAAATCTGCACCAAATGCACGCTATGTTCCATCACAGGATTATGATTTACCGTCTTCACAAAACAAAAAACCTGAGAAAGATCCATATGACTGTCTGAGTTTAAAAGTGGACCAATTAGAACAAGAAATCAATAAACAAATTCCTGAAAGTACCACAACAAAACCACTGGAGATTCAACCTGTTGCAGGGGAATCATCAGTAGTTGAAACATCATTCAAATCTCAGAACCAGGAAAAATCTCAAGTATTCACCACTAATCAGCCACCAGAAGAAATCGCTGAGGAAAATACTCAAAAATCATTCTGGCAGCGAGTTAAAAGCAAAGTTGCTGAAACTTACGTGAAAGCTCGTTCTGAAGCGACTGAAATAGTAAAAAAAGTCAAGAGTAACATTCCTGGAGTCCAATCAGCTCAATAACTCTTGTTTATACAAAAATAATCAGTATTTTCAGTATTCTGTGCAGAAACCTTTTTTTTAAATTGCGATAGCCTATTTTAAATTATGTTGCTTAGGGTACAGTGAAAAATAGTGCTCATATATAGTATTTGGAAAAAGTGTTATGCTTCTAAGTACACTATACACTATCTATACACTGTCATGGTTACTCAAATATCTATTTGTTTTTAAATTAACTTATTTTGTTATCTATACTATTATAAAGAAGAGGTGGTGTCTGTGTGTGTGTGTGTGTGTTTGTATGAGCTAATCTCAAAAACTACTGAACCTATTGGGCTCAAATTGCACACACATGAAGCTACAGTTCCGAGGATACATATAGAACTATTCCCGCTTCAATATTGTCCTAGGGCTATGCCCCGTGGGCTTTCAAAAATCGGAGGTGAGAGATTTCAAAGTAAATTTTGATTGATGGTATCCATGACAACAAAGAACAAACCTACAAAGTTTAAAAATGTAAACAAGCAGTACTAACTGTCAAATTAATTTTGATTTCACAATTCCATACAGCTGGTTCAAACATTCATTTAAATACTGCATGAATATTAGAACAGAGAGGGTAAGGATCATATTTAAAATAATGATGTCACTATCCTGAATGTAAAAATTATTTAACATTACTTAAATGGAGCTGTCAAACCATACGCTAATGTCATTTCATTATAATAGGATTCTTTCAGTTACATAATTACAGGGTGCAGCACTATTATTTTTTTGCATTTATGACAACAGCTAATTTGAACCAACTAGCCACAAAAAGCTGTGGTACACAATGAGACCTTTACTTTTTTCTATGGTTCAGGGGCAGTAGTAGAACAAAAGAACCAAACTTTCTTAAACCATGTCCTCACCCATAACTGCAATAAGCATTTTATACTTATATGCCAACCCCGTACGAAGGACGGGTACTCTGCTAGTATATTAATAATAGTTTAGATTTTAAGAATAATTAGGTAGGGTAATTTTTCAAAAACATATTTACTTTATATTCCTATTCACAAATCTTGTAACCTAGGTACATTAAACATTTTAAGGAAAGGACATAGCTTGGTTAAGTTTAGGCTGCTTACATTTTTTTAGATTCTGTGAATGTATTCCTTTTTTTCATTGAAGAAAATGTCATTTGTTGAGGAGCTGTGTTTGTCTCTAAAAATATTAACTAGTACAGTAATAATTTTATAATTTGTACCATTAACTTTAGTCTTTCAACTAAATAGGCTATTGTGTGTGGATCTAGAATTGTATCAATAAATTAAAACGTACAAGTAACCAAATTGAATTAATTCAATAAACCTTAGTTCAAACAATAATGATATAAAATACCCCCGCCGCAGCAAACCTGCAGACTAAGCGAATTTCCATTTGACTGATTGGATTTACACTGAAATGTCTACTTAAAAATATAACACTTATTCCCGATTTAAATAGAATTAGTTTTAACAAGTACTTAGGTTTGCTGCATCAGGGAGGGTAAAACTGTTTTTTTTTTTTTGTAAAATGTTAATAGTTAGTAAGAAATAAAATCATTTTCCAAATTTGATCAAAATATGTTCATAAACAAGCAAACTACAACAGTTTACTTATTCTCCATAAGAATAACATGGGAATTTTAAACTTACAATTTTTTTGGAATTTTCTCCGTAACCATTAGGCGCATAATACCGCTTCAATATACTAAATTATTTGTTTTTAAGCTCTACAAAATTTGAAACAACTGGCAAAATTATCCTTTTAAATATGAATGAGCTACTATAGTTCGGCCGCTTAGAAAGCGACCTCCTGCAGCATTGGTTTAGCATTAGCGCGCATGTCGTTTTCTAAGCGGCCAAACTATATACCCGTGCTTTGCAACGGGAAGAAAATGTGACCTAGAGAGCTATTAAAGTGGTGCTGATGTGTGTTTTAAAATACAGCAACTCTATGATTTAATTTGAAAATATAAACTTTTATAAAAGTGTAAACCTACTTACTTTCAAACCCCTACTTTTGATGTTAATAGATCTCAAAGAATATGACAACATACCTTAAATGTAGCACTAGCATCAATTGCTTCAAATTGATGGTTCATGAATGACATGTTTTACCATAGGCTAATTATTCAATTTTAGTCAAGCCTCTTTACATGTAGCTTACTGTAAAAATTACAAAATGAAACTTTGAGCAATACTTCACTAAACTTGTACAACCTTTCTTTAAAACCAAACAACACTCCTCAATCTACATTAAGCACAAACATGTTATTCAAGTAAATAAACAAACACCAGTTCATTGCACTGAACCAGCTGTTTCATTAACTAAATTAAATTAAATCATTTGAACTTTGGAAGCATGCCAGGCATAGTCCTTTGGAAATAAGCCTGTATTTGGCAGAGGCCTTAGGAAATTTGTCCGTATCAATACTTTTTGGCAAATCTACACATTCTAAGATTCATTTCATGATTTGCCATATGCCTATATTGATTGATTGTATTACTAATATAATACTCATAAGAATAACATGGAAACTGAACCCCCGTGGGCATAGCCCTAGAGTTTTTTTTCATAACTTTAATATGCCTATGTGTTTCTCAAGACTATCAAGTACCTCTCTGCAAAATGTCGGCTCAATAGATCCAGTAGTTCATGTGATGGTAACTTCAGAGTTATACACAAACATCCATTATTTCCAAACCCATACTATTTCACTAGCAACAGACCCAGTTGTGGTTAAATACAACGGTTATGTGGGCCCCGATGTTTTAGGACAGCTTGTGTTCACTGAAACTGTCATTTAAAACACCTGGCTTAAGGACAAAGATGGAGATGAGGATGAGAGATTTCAATTCAAGCACAGTACCTAAAATTCTAAAAAGCATGTACTGTAAAAATGCTTTAACAAATTATTCTCAAAATAAAATAATGGAATAATAATTCTCAATAACGGAAGAGAGACTGGAGCCTTTGCTGGAGCTAATCGATATTGTTAGGTTATTGCATTTGCCAGGTAGATGGTTTCACAATGTTTTTAAAATGGGCTTAAGTTTGAGACTATCGATTTGATACAGCACACTCGCAAATGTTTGTTTCAATAATTCAACAATAGCTTATTAATATCATTTTAAGCTAAGGATTGATCTAAAATAAAAAAATAAAACAATACCTTATGTGAATATTGTTATTTTATTATCACAATTACACACATTTCACAATATATGTCACACTGTACAAAGTAAAATACAGAATAAATAATGGTTTATAGACATGAGATTTTATAAAACAATATACAAATAAACTTTTGAGTTTGGTTTCTGGTGACAAATCCGGGAAACTATTTTTTAATTCTACATAGGCCTACTAAACTGACTGCTCTCAGAAATGGATAAAATAAAACCAATTGTACATTAATTCAGTGAACAAATTATAATTATTTTAAATCATATTTTAACAGTCTTAGTCGATTTTGGAAATAGAAAATATTGTTCATAAGTTACGAATTATTTTCATAGATATGTATATTGGTTCTATGTCATTTTATTCCCAGGTAAAATTGATTCAAATTAAAACTCCTATCAGGTCAGGAATGCTCATTACAGGTAAAAATGTAGATAAATTTGTATTAGATAAGTTTCATTATTCTTTTTTTAAACAAAAACTCCTTTATTCTTTGTAGGGCAATTTTTAGTCCCTCAACATTTTTCTTAAATAAAAAAGTTCAGTAAAAACTTCTAATCCAACATAGTCATTCTAGCCGGACTGAAAATTGACATTTTTGAACAAAAGGTTAATCATTGTTAAGTCTGATAAACTGAAACTTTCCACATCATTGTGTTTTATCTCATTATCTTAAAGTGTCAAGTATTCAAACCATTAAATAGCACGCACACACTATATACACCTACATACATTCTGGTTACACGCTGATATATACATACATACATCCACTGTTACTTAAAAAAGTGCAAATTTTATTTTTTGAACAAAACCAAGTTGGTGGTTCTAAAACAGTTTTAAAGACAGTGCTGCTACCTACCACCACCTTTTCCTGTGAGTCGTAAAATCATAGATGTAATTCAACTTAATAATAATGTTAAAAAATTCAAATTTCAGTAAATTGGAGCTTAATGATTAGAAGATATTTCAATTCCTTAATTGTTCTGTCTAAGCCTCGAGTAATAAACTTAGGCCTATTAATATTAGGTTTTCCTAAGAAGTTTTCTTTAAAATTCTATTTTCAATTCTTAGCAAACACGACATGCTTGAAATGGAATATTCATGACACCTAATCATTGAAAATTGACGAAATAGAGAGGACACTCAACCAGACTTTGGTGACCTAATAGCAATTGAAGGTGACTGAATACATGATTTGTGTGACTGATTAACACTGTACAGATTCAATTCGTATTAATATCAGTTTAGCTAGTTTATGAGCTAGCACACATTTAACAATAAGCATGGTCAATTAACACTTAGTGTCCTTTCTAATACGTTGTTTTTAATTTTTAATGACATATCGATCTCTGTGTTGATAGTCAAGAGTCGTCATGGACTTTTGACATTGAGGTGAGGAATTCTTCAAAAAAGGAACGTCTCAAAGACATAAAATTATATATATTATTTCCTAATCAACTAAAATCAAGACAACAAAACTCAAAATCATACCTGGCATTTCTCAAATTAAAAACCAAACAATTTGTGTTAAACATAAGCAAATCTTTGTATTCATTTAGCTTTTTATAAGGTATATAAAAGTTATCTGAAGATGTAGTGATTTTAAAACAATTAGGATAACAGGATCAAATAAAACGGACATTTTGCTACAGTAAAATAAATCTTTGGGAAAGCAAGAAAAGCAAAGCGATTGGTTTTAAGCAATAAACCTAGCTAAAATAAGATAGATATAATAAAATCATCCTCATTACTTTTAAAACCAAAATGAAAAATCAAATCTGAATCCAACAAAAGGTATTGATTTAAAATTACTTTTTAAAATTTTTAAACTAAAACATCACTCTTACAATTTATAGAACACACTCACCCAACAAACCAACGAAAATTCTGCGAGGGAATAGAGTGAAGCCTTTGGTTGTTCAGGCTGTTAAAAAAAATAAAAATTTATATACCAACTAAAATCACTCCTGAAAATCGGTATCACATTTCGATACGTGATTAAATAACACTTTGATACATGTTATTGCTTTGTAAGTGACTAGAAGTAAACCGTATTGAATGTGCGAGTTAGTGTCTTCAGGAGAGGAAGACGCGGACAGTGGCGGTGACGGGTTGACGACACACAGCGCAGGTTGTGAGGGACAGCGCGCACTTGACACAGGCTACAAGATGGCCACAGGGTAGGAACACAACCCCGACCTCATCTGTGTAGCAGATCTTGCACAGACTCGTGTGTTCAGACTTACCGGCATCACTGCCATCATCCTCTTTTTTACTGTCCACTCTGAAACAGATGAAAAACAATTAATATATAATCATCATATATATTAAAACGTGACAGGGTTTTTTTATTTCACGATTCTGAATCAACCACTTGACGGATTTTCATGATTTTTGTGATGAAAGAAAGATAATTTTGAGAACTAGGGAGTGTTGAAGCCATAATTTTAGTTTAGGGTTTCAGTTTTTTTTATTGTTTTAAATTTTAAAAAGACTTTTAAAATTTTTAAATTTTAGCAGCCGACACTAACATTCTACTCTAGCTTTTGGTATAATACCATTTACTTAACGTAACAGCTGTAAACATTCAGCGTTTTTTGACACAAATTCAGCATTTGGATGAAAATTAAAATACATACGTAGAATTGACTTATTAATACTATGTGTAATGCTATACTCATTGATACGTCCATTTATTCGGTAAGAAGATGAGAGTTTATTTTAAATATAATTAGTAAAATACTAGATGTTCTAATTTTTTTTTTTACAGTCTATAAAATATTTAGTTTGTTTTAGTGCAATATAATTTGTTATAACTAACAGCTGGTTGAATAAAATTATTTTCTATAGAACTATGAGGTTAGTTTATTTACTCTGTGATTTTGTCATTGATTATAGGAAATAAGTAATATTCTATAACCATTGCTGTATACAAATCAAAGCTCATGAATCTTCAAAAGAAAGCTTATGAGCTATTTTACTACTCGACTTTTTGAGGAAAGGTTGGGAAATAACAATGAAAACATGTTTTAATTACTCTTGGCAGCTTTTTCTTTACTATAAATTTTGAACTGCTTAAACTATGCTTGAATTAGTAATAGACCAGCACACTATATACAGTTTTAATGGACTACTCTATTCCCGTACGTAGGATGGGCCAACCGCTCGTTGTATTTAAATCAACGAAATTCTACTGGGTTTTGGTTCAAACATTGATCTAAGCTATTAAAAATATAGACCTAGGCCTATACAAACTGGAAATCCATGTCAGTTAACGGTGACGTAGGTCTATACAAGGGGTTTAAATAGCATATTCAAATTTTACACCAAAGCAACCAGAATATTAATAAATAGTCTATGTAACTTAACTGACTTTTAAGCATAGGTGAATGAATCATCTAAAATGTGTTCCTTTTGATTACTCTTCTAGGCACTGTAACTTCTCAGCTACTCAGCTAAATGCTAAGCTTCACTTTTTATAAAAATAACAAGATCTGGGTTGTTCTTTTTCTTCACGAAAATCTAAGTGTTTTAAAGAGAAACATCCACAAACATATTGAATCGCATTTCCATTAAAAACCTATTAATACTACCCTAGATTTGTAGGCCTAATAATCCAGGGTATCTCTTTCATTCTGATAAAGATGTAATTTGTTTATCTACTCACTCTTTGCTTGTTTTAGTCTCTTCCTTTTTACTGCATTCTAATGAGCTGGACTGACTGATGTTTTCTTCACTTTTTGATTTTCCCTGAAAATTAAAATTGAATGTTAAAAGTGTCCGTATAAAACACAGTGACTTTAAACAATTGTCAAAACTAAAAATTCATTGACTTTAAACAATTGTCAAAACTAAAAATTCATAAATTTATAATAGGAAATTGACAGGACAGCAGGATTACCAGTCAATTTCCTTAACAATTCCTGGCAAGTGCCCTATCTTTTCATCAGATAAATTTATAATCGGTCTAGTTTTGGTGATCAAAGGACAGCTAGGTTTGTCTTGACTAGAAGATACGTTTAATAAAGTTTCAAGGGCATGAGTTCATCATGAAAAATATAATTTTACCAAAAATATACATTATTTGTTTGTGGTTAAAGAGATAAGGTTTGAGTAATTTTTTTTTAAACTATGGGGAGTGGCATGAATTTAAAATTGTAACAAGTTATTGTTTGGTTTATTTTTGCTACTTAATCAAGGCAACATCTCAGGGCTATAGTCTCACCTTAACTATTTTCCTGCCACAAACTTCATCGACAAAATCTTTTCCTTTGACGAGCAGCACAAAGTTGCATTTAGAAAACCATCTCGCGTGCTCCACCCACGGTTCATCTGACTCCTCCCAGTCTTTCAGTCCTCCGCCACAATGGAAGCAGATCGTCTGGTCTCCCTTACCTTGGGAACAAAACACTGTATGAAAATACATTCCTATATGTGAAGCTGATTTAACTGTACACTCTACCTTCATCTCAGTTAACCAGTTGTTGTTTAAGAGCTAGGTACCAACAACATGAAGAGATTTCCAGAAGAATTCAAGACGAATTCCTGAATTTTAAGAACTACTATCGGAACCCTACTTAAAGCTTTAACAGCCGTTTTATATTAAGTAGAAAAGATTTTAAAAAGAAATCATCATTTTTATCACATACTGTAATTCATTTAACAAATGTGTGTAAAAATGTACTTCAGAAATAAAAAGTTGGAGATTGCATTTTTTTATTTTTTCATTAACTGGTAGGCACTATAACTTTGAAACAAAGAGTAATATTTTATATAACATATTAAAACATTAACTAGTAGGTAAGGCGACACCAGTTATCATATCCCACGATCGCGGGTATAACAGTGAGCACATCTTGCAGTCTCAGTGACACCAGTTATCGTTTCCCGCGTACGCGGCAACACCCGTGAGCATATTTTGCTATTTTGGCAACACCGAAAATAGTTTCCCACGATCACAGCAATACCCATGAGCATATATTGCTGTTTCGGCAACACCGAAAATCGTCTCCTGCGATTGCAGCAATACCCGTGAGCATATTATGCGGTTTCGGTGACACCGATAATCGTTTCCCACGATCGCGGCAAAACCCATGAGCATATTTTGCGGTTTCAGCGACACCGGTAATCGTCTCCCGCAATCGCAGAAACAGCCATGAGCATATTGCATATTCTCTTGGGAATTAAGCCTAGTTTACCAGGTACAACACAAGACTAGAACAGGATTGTGGTTGAAATTATTATCACTATAGACATTGAGCTATATACTGAAGCAAATATAAAAAAGCCCACAAGGCGCTTGACATTAGAGCCAGCATGTAACTAGGGAATTTGGCGATTATATTTGGGATTTTGTTGTGATTAAACACCTTATGTAAAGTAAGGTTTATTTAAAATAATCTAAAATGAAATAAATAGGCATACTGTGGCATAGACCTACATCAAATAACACTGCTGATCACAAAGTTAACAAAATACCTGTATAGAAAAACCCAGCTTCACTCAGAGTATTCGGCTTCAGTTTCAGAGCGATTGGCCACATCTCGTACGATCGCAGTCTTGACTCTAAAGTTGCGTAGTTGGGAAACGAGGGAGCTCTGCTTTTGTGTATTCCCAGTTTTTCTAGTGGAGGTAAGGGTTTGTTGTCTTTAACAGCATTCACGTTCACTCCGCATTCAGGCCTGAATTCAATCCTTCCACACGTGTCATAGCCTGAAATTAAATAATAAACCATCATAGTTGCTAGAGTAATATTGATTTAGCAAATTTAAACTTTAAACAAATGACAATGATTGTAGATGTCACATATGCATAGTTTAACAGTAAAAAAATTGCCATTGCATCAATTATTTAACATTTATTTTGGCTTCATTGAGTAAGTTAATGAAAAAGAAATGGTAATGGTTAAGTTATTTAAAAATAGATAAAATAAGTTCAGCTATTCTTATATTTAATGCAAGTTTTTACTCACTCACTTTACATACAAGTTAAACACCAAATTTTTCCGGGGGACTGTAGGTCATTCCGTTACGTTAACTAACAAGATTTATAATTTTAAATTGAGACTTTGAACTTGAGGTTATGACACTCAATTCAATGGAATTGGATACCGGTAGCTATATAGTTACTTCAACTACAACTCCATTAGGAAAAATGTCTAGATAAAAAAACCCATCTAGATAAAAATACACATTTCGGTAAAAATACAACTATCCATAATGTTGACTAGCCAAGCATGGTAGCCTACAATCCTTATTGATTCGGAGTTCCTTATAGTTGGAGATTAACTGTAGGCTACCTATTTTAAAGTTTGTCTTTATTAGAATCACAAGTAGGCTACAATTATTGTTGAACTGGTATTGTATATAATTGTTTTTGTTTTGTATAGGCTAATCTTTTTAATTCTTAATGAATTGGAATTGTTTACAGAAAGAGAACATAAGAATAAGAATAAGAATATTTATTTTCCTTTAGACAAATACATGCATTTGGAATCGTCATAATAATCACAAGGCAAATTCAATAACAATCAACATGCTTCTACAAAACTCTCAAAATTTCTACAATAAATAAATAAATATATAATAATAAATAATCACTTTATGTTCACAACTAAAACTAAAAGATGCAAGGTCTAATTGCATATATCTCATATATCATATCTAGTCCAACTAGTTTTCAAAGCAGATCTTTACCATATGGTCTTAGCCCATCACCCAAGACTAAAGACATTAAGATCTGAATCATGCTTTCATGTTTAATAAGCCAAACATGCTATTTTAACTACATTTCAAGAGCTTTAAAATAAGTAACTCATGGAAATATTGCTACATAATTACTCAGCTCCATTGGAAACTGTTGAGATTACTCAATCTAGATCATCCATCAATAATACCTATCACAAATAATTTAATGTCGATAAGCTTCAGCCTAACGCTCATACCTAAATGTTAATTAGAAATATCATAAGTAAGTATTTATTGAATTTCCTTAAATTAAGTAGGTGTAGGCCCATTGGTCAATGTGTCAATAACCCCATAGAGCTAAACCTTTTAGGTCCACTAAAACTAAAACACCTTCAAGAAAAGAGAAAACAAATAAACTTTATAATATCCTAATGAGAAGAAAACTCACCATTTTCTTTAGGAACATCTTGTACATTGTTGTTTGCATTGTTGACAGTAATAGGGACGTTTCCAACAGGTAGTTTCCGCACAAATTTACAAGATGGAGACCACCTCTCATGATCGTGCATAGGGTCGTCCCCTTCTACCCAGCAGCCAACTTCAACTCCGCAAAACGCACAACGGACCACATCTTCTCGCTTTAGGTAGTAGAAACCCGCAGCGGCCATCTGGCTGGGGCTTAAAAATGAGACTGGCCAATTCTCGAAACTTCTAAGCCTTTCTCTTTCATAGTGAAACATAGGCATATCTTCAGGTACATTTAAGCCATTTATTCCATTAGAGTGGATGGAAGATGACGATGCACTAGGTCCAGCTAAGTCATTCCTATGGAAAGCTCTTGAATGGCCATTGGCTAGGATTGAATTCATCTTCGAGCGTTGTTCTGATGTTGATGAAATCAAAGGGCTGTTTTCCACTGGGCTAATGGAGTTATTTGGTGGCATCTGAAACAGAACCACCTTAGTTAATTTTATTCTTTAAAACAGGATCTAGATCTAGAATATAGAATTAAGTAAGTTAGCCTAGATGTTCAATTACATTTTCCTTTTAGAGTATCTTTATATAGCCTAGGCTATCTAACTTATCCAAACCTATGTTACAGTATCAAAACCCAGCACAACAACATCCCCATGTCAACTTATCCAGTATCAACTTATCATTAATTAATAGATAGTTTTAAACTTACTTAACTCTTAATTAACTTTTAAATCACGGATTTTGAGGTCACAAGTGACGCTGGCTGCTAAGTTAAGTTATTTTAAAGGAAATTAGTATGGTAAAATTTAATTCATTATAGAGTTGCCATATGGTAATGTGCAAAAAAGATAGGAGATAATAGCTGGTGGCCCCCACTATAATAGTGTAGGCCTAGTATAAAAATTAACTAAATAACTTCTTGATCAGCATTGTACGTGTTATTAAATTTACGGAAAGTAAATGATTTACTTTCCGTAAAAATTAACTGGCTGGCAAAATTGTATACCTAGTAACTTACCCCTACATAGAAAAAATATTATTACAGAAACTGTATGAGTCATAAACTTAAACATAGGTAAACAAAATTATGTCACTGGCCCGAAAGTAAACACGCTTTTATTATTATTTAAATGGAACTGTCAAAAAACACCCAAACCAGTTGTTACCGCTATTAGCCTATAGGCTAAGTTAGACATTCGGGCCAGTGACGTATTTTTTGTATTTATTGACTCCATAACATTTATGTTCAATATTCGTACTACATTGTCAACATTTCAAACGGTACCGGTATGCGAAAATATAAAGTGTTGCATCGCTTGTCACATCTCACTAAAAATAATGAATAGCCGGATACAGTCAACAAAACGCTCCCTGTCTGCTAGGCTTTGGTACCTAGTGAACAAGAATACTCCTTCAAACTGGCCGGCAGACGCATTGAAGGACTGGGGGCAAAGAGACAATTTTTTTCTTTGTCCTAGGACCGCTAGGCAACTGCCCGGGACTGTTTTTCACATTACTTCAGGCTAGACCTAGGGGTAACGGCAATATCACTTCTAGGTAGATAAAATCCATTGGTGATTTGGCGGGGTTTGAACCCGGGACCCCAGGAACCGGAGTCCAGCGCTCTAACCACTAGACTAGCTCGCTTTCCCAAAGAAACAGACAATAAAGATAAACAAAGGACGTTGCTGGCCAAAGTGAAACCAAGGAATGAAAAAACGTTGGTAGAGAGTACGAGAGTTGCATTTTTCAGTTACGGTATTGCATAAACTTAACAATATTTTAGAATGTAGGATTTTACTCCAAAATCCCTCGAAGCTAAATTTTGAATGTTAAAATCCGGTAATCTCCGGGGATATGGCTACACTAATTCAATAGGCCTACATTGTTTATATCGAAATAAATTATAATCAACAGGCTTAAATAACTATAACTTATTTAGTAAGTATTAATCCGAAAATACTAATATCGCAGGTTCCCTTCGGAACTGAAACTTACCCATTTGTAAACTTAATGTAGGCCTAAGCTAAAAAAAGGCCGAAAAGAAACTAGGCCCAACTTAACAAAAAGTAAGCTTGTACCTGCTTGTACTTAAACCTAAATATAGTGGGCTATAAATTAAAATTTTTCCATCATGGGCCTACCAATTTCAGACCAAAACTAGGTGTAACTTAGGCCCTAATGCTAAGCATTCTCTTTCTAATCACATGATTGCCAACAGGAAGTTATGTATGGTAGCCCTAAATTAAGCTTATCCGACTTGGTGAGAATGCATGTGACATAGGCTAGGCTAGCAATTGTTCACATCTAAAGGAAATAAGCACAAATTAAAGGTTTAGTAAGAATCGTCCATCAGTTCTCAAGACCTAGGGCCTAAGTTAAAATGTAACGATCAATAACTCAAATCGCCTTACGAAACGGACATAACAAAAATGGCTGATCACGCCAGACGACAAAAGACAAGTTTCACGTTTGCTAAATCTAGCAATTTCAATGTTAGTTCGCTAAACGATTTATATGATTAAGACTAAAATATGGTAAGAAACAGTGGCGTAGTCGCTATAAATCAACTCAACATTATAAACGTTTATTTAACTAGCCTATAATAATATGCCAGCGCCAGCTTTCACTGACCTCCCATTACGTACGATTGTGAGTGTGACGTTGCAAATTGAAGAACTGTCTAGGTCCTATATAAATTTACTAACCTGCAAAGCGTTTTGGTGGCGAGGAGTTTGGTTATCCTTAAGCCTAGAATAATAAGTTATTAAAACTACGAATTTACAATACACATACTAAGTAAAAAACCCTAAACTTAAAAGACTAGCAGTCTCTCTCCTAAGTGCACAACTAAGCGTAGTTGTACGATTTTACTCCGCACTGGGCAGGCGCGTCGCTTCTATGTTCAAGGTTCAAGCTGACGCGTACAGTTGGCTGGAGAGGTGGGGAGGTGGAATGTGGCTGGTATTTTAATTCAAACGTGCAGTGTTGCCAGACTTCGTGGTCCCTTGTCAGCCCGACAAACCTTTTGAACTCTGATCAAAAAGCGATTGTCTAAATGGTGTGACCATAAACAATAGTTCTAATCGACAATACAAATGTTTTGAGGAAATTTTCCGCTTGGCAATAAATTCAATCTTTGGCCGACCGTTACTGTTTAGTGTTTAGTTTATTCGGATTTGGGCTGAATTCCTTTCGTACAATAAATAAGGCCTACTTAACTTAACAAAATCGTGGATATGCATTTTACGTTTTTCGATAACACATGTTAAGCTACAGTTTTAATGCTTTGCCTACAACCCCGTACCGTACAATTAATTTCAACGAGTTTACCAAAATACTAAATTGTTTGTTTCCGTTTCACACACTTAACTATATCTTTTATTGTTGGTAAGGTCAATTTTTTAGTGGCATTGAATGTTTGTGCGTTTACCAAAATACTAAATTGTTTGTTTCCGTTCCACACACTTAACTATATCTTTTATTGTTGGTAAGGTCAATTTTTTAGTGGCATATTGAATGTTTGTGCACGATGATAGGTCTACATATTTTTCCTACAGTCACCTGACAAAGTGGCCTTCCTTGCACTGATTATAGCATAGAAAGTAGATAATTGCTGCGTCTACTTACTTTTGCCGCACAGTTTCTGTTTTGCCACACAGTTTTTTTCCGCACCCCAGTATTCCAACCAAACAATACAACATAGCGTGCTTTTATTAGGCACGTAATACATGTATGCTTGAAAATAAGTTGGCAACACTTAAGATATTAATACTACGATCAGCTGGTGCAGCGTTTCCCATTTCGTTCAATGTTTGTCAGTCTGTTCGAATTTGACGAGGGGTAGTCCAGGCAATCACCAATCATTAATCAACTTGTCTCCATCCATTATAAAATGGAGAATAGAGCACATGCCTCTTTCTCCAAGGTTTCAGGTTTAAATCCTGTTAATCACAATGAATACCGCAATACCCTCAAGGGACAAGGGCATACAGCCTGAAGCTATGTGTAAAGAGGTTCGGGCTTCAAACTAGCTTTCCAGAATGTGAATTAAGAGCGAAGGTAAGACAAAATAAAAATCTGCTTGTCGAATCTGAAAATAATACAATGATAACGGTAATTAATAGCCTACGTTCAAATAGAAAACATATCGCTACGACCTGGGTTTAATCTGTGGTTTAGCTAAAAAAATGTTAGTGATCAACTTCCAAATTGCAAGACATAAGACATAAGACATTTATTCATCATTTTTTACATATGAAATGCATAGATAAGTCAAAATGTTGGTAAATACATCTTGTATTCAGTCTTGAGTAAATAAATGTACCTATTAATATATAAATAACAAGGAATTCAGTTAATACAGTCAATATAATACAAGAGTTAAAATTAAAATTGAGCGACGAGCAACTAAATACAAAAGTTACAGACCATGGCAAGAGATTAAAAATTTGACAGTAATAAATTAAAAAATCGTGCAACTTATATCTAAATCGCAGTTACATCCTATTTCAAATATTTTTTATTAACTTATCAGACATGCTAAAAAAATCTTCGATACGGTAGAGCGGGTTGTTTACTAAAAATAAAAACAGCCTTTTCTTAAAATTCTTAAAGTCTAAATCTGTCACAGCCAGAGGTAATTTATTTAATAGCCTAATACAAGTTACAGCATTTAACATTGCTTTGCTTTGAGAGTCTGTAACAGTCTTCTATGTTGTAGTGCAGGCGAGCGGATCGGCAGACTCGCCGGACCGCATTGCAACGCAGGGCAAGCTACCGTGATCCTGCGAGACTTTCTACAATACCGAGAAGTGAGGACACACAACCACATCCTGGTTGTTGTGCACCGAGAAACAGCGAAACAGCATTTGCAAAGGACTCTAAAAGGATATGTGTGGACGACGAAATGCCTTTTATCTTTTGCTCGTGGTGTAAAAGCATCGGGCTGCGATGGCAATACATTATTCATATAATACTTTTATTTGTGAACTCAACTGAACGGCCTGTGAAAAATACGAGCCCGTTCTTTAGAGATTCAGTTTCAGTAATCGTGTGTTTTTTTTTTAATGTTAGAAACGTTCATAACCAACAATGAGTTAAATAAACTGGCAAAATAATCTTCAAAGTTTTACAAAATATTATTTTGTTCAACACCGCTTTTTACAACACACGATGGAATGTGCTGTATAATCTAGTTAAATTATAGAATTAATTTTATTCTGTTCGATTTGATTAACAACAGGCAATAGACCACCATGGTCTATGGCCTAATCAACGATCACAAATGGTATATTCAATTCTCTGTGTTAACTTAAAGGGAAATAGCCATTTTTATTTCGCGACCCAACACTTTTTTCGTAACACTATTAACAGGCGGAGGCGAATGATTTTGCCTGTATAACAGTTATGGCATTATTTATGTAATTTTCTCTGCTAAAACTACGAGAAAACTATTTATTTGCAAATTATGTTCCAACGATAAGTCCGATGCAGATCCAGATTTTACAACTCATTTGCCTCTGACAAACACAAAGCGTATCCCATGTGCCAACGGCGTGGTCTCAGTGGTTGGTTGAAGATCAGATCACTGCATGTTTCTCGGCTGTGTCGGCTGCTACATGGTACAGTGGTAGAGAGGCGGCGACGGCGCCGGTCTGTGACGTACAAGGCCATTATACTCCCACCACGACTGTACCATTCACTGAGTCAGACCGTGGGAACATACACTGGCGAGCGAGAGAGAGGGAGAGAGAGAGAGAGAGAGACTTGGAATGCTCAAGAATGCGGGGGGTCCGCACTCCACACTCGGGTTCACCCCTCTCCTCAGAAGAGAGTCAATCAATATGTGATAGTTTTACAACTCATTCAGGTTCGGACCTTTAAATACGGTGTAGTATTGTATGTACAATGTGTACCTTGAATGTTTCCCTTCCCTACAATTAATGAGGGAAGGTAAAGGGTAAAGGTAAACAACAATGATCAATCAATTATTGAGATGGGGACGCCACCTAGGTGCGTATTTTAACCCAAATATGAGTGAAGGATGAGTGTAGAATGGTGTGTGATGACCTGTGTAGCTTTGTTACTGACTAAGATCAGCTCAGCGGTTTCATTAGTCAGGATCATTTATTTAAAGCCCAATGATCAGGAACAGCTGGGTCCAGTTTCGAACCATCAAAAAGCTACTAATTTTTCTCAGGATCGAACCGGCGACCTTTTGATTACTAGGCGAGCACAATAACCACTCAGCTACCCAGCCAGTCTAAGTAATGTTGGCTTCCTGCTGAGTACGACGAAGTTGCGTGGTCGGAGCTACAGCACGTGCCAAGCTCTCCTCACTCCTCAGAGGAGAGTCAATGCAAATGTGATAATTGTACAACACATTCATGTTTGGACCTTTAAATACAGTGTAGCCTAGTATGTGTAAAGTGTACGTTGAATGTTTTCCTTGCCTTATACAGTCCTGCTGAGCAGTGTATGTATGGTTTGAGTTTGCGTGGTCGGACTCGGAGCGACTCCACGTCTCTCGTCCCTCATCTTCTTTTATTTCCAGAATAGAGCTAATTCCTTTGTTCGAACTTCCTATTGCGATCAGTTCTTTAAAATAGTTTGATTTTTTGGAAATGAGTGTGTAACATTGATAACCATGTTATAACACCAACAATGTTCTTGATATTTGACAACTGTGGAGTATTACATTTTTTGTGATATCCATTCTTCAAAACAAAGTCAACTAATTGTTATTACAGTACTAGTATTTAATCGAGTGCATTAAGACGGTTAATGATATGTTGATCTAATAAAGGTCTTCAATAATAATTGTACATATTAAATATCGTATTATGAATGCTGTATCGCGATGCTGAGTACATTCAGCAAGTTCACTAAAGTTTGGTTCAGTGGCTGTATGAAAAAATATTTTAAATTAAATTAAATGAATGATTTATTGTCGTTGCCTTATACAGTCCTGCTGAGCAGTGTATGTATGGTTTGAGTTTGCGTGGTCGGACTCGGAGCGACTCCACGTCTCTCGTCCCTCATCTTCTTTTATTTCCAGAATAGAGCTAATTCCTTTGTTCGAACTTCCTATTGCGATCAGTTCTTTAAAATAGTTTGATTTTTTGGAAATGAGTGTGTAACATTGATAACCATGTTATAACACCAACAATGTTCTTGATATTTGACAACTGTGGAGTATTACATTTTTTGTGATATCCATTCTTCAAAACAAAGTCAACTAATTGTTATTACAGTACTAGTATTTAATCGAGTGCATTAAGACGGTTAATGATATGTTGATCTAATAAAGGTCTTCAATAATAATTGTACATATTAAATATCGTATTATGAATGCTGTATCGCGATGCTGAGTACATTCAGCAAGTTCACTAAAGTTTGGTTCAGTGGCTGTATGAAAAAATATTTTAAATTAAATTAAATGAATGATTTATTGTCGTTAAAACTATGTACAAAGTTCATGACAATCGTCAAAAGAAAACAAAACAATCAAGATGGCTCTGGCATTAAAACTAAAATAACTAAAACTACCAAAGTACTCTTCTTGTTTGTACAGGCAAGCCTGTTTGAATTTTGAAACACACAGGTTTTTGATGGAGGTAGGCAAAGAAATTGTTTATTTTAACACCTTATTGATACTAAAAGGACCTATATATTAAAACTCGTCCTGTTAAGAAACAGTAATTCAAAAATTTAATGATTTTATTATATGGTTAACTATTACCGTAATTTGCGTTATGCAATAATAGGCCTACTAACCGTTGGCATTAGCAAACGTTTACATAAGCATAGAAAAAATATTTGTTATTTAATTCTTTTGTCTATGTTATGGACAATAAGAACTGAAACATAATCAGATCGACGACTTTTAAAGA